GCTCTCCCAACAATATCGATACAATCAGCACAGGCCAGGATTTGCACTAATTTATTATATATTGAACCAGTGGTTGTGATTTGTGACATACGTATTACTTTTTCCAGAGTTAGATTAAACAGTATATATGAGAGGGGGTCTCCCTGCCGCAGCCCGTTATTTGTTTTAAAAACTTCAGATAGTTCTCCCTGAATTAGTACTCTACATTTAACTTTTTCAAAAGTTAGTTTTGTTAAATTCACCAACTTATTTGGTATTCCTTCCTCTTTCATTGCTTTGAACATTTCTCTTGTTTCCACAGAGTCGTAGGCAGCTTTGTAGTCTATAAATATGTGATGAGCATTAATGCCATAATCCAGTGTTTTTTCAAAATTTGTTTCAGAGTTGCAATCTGATGAATTATCGATTTATTACCTCTGAAACCAGTCTGGTTATATTATTTGTTTATATATTCGTACGTAAATAGTTTCCAATGGTTAAAATATCTGTCAATGCCTTACTTTGTTCTGCACAAATAAAATTTGACTTTCCAGGTGATTATAAAACTTATATAAATAAAATACAATATATTATGTCTGTGCATCTGCCTGTGGAAGTAACAAAAAAGAGATGTTTTATATTATTTGCCATAAATGCTTTAGAAAGGAGTACAGTGATTTCTAGAGATACAAAAGCTAATAACTTACTATTAATATTCCTTTAATATTGCTTCAAACAAAAAAAGATCACCTGTTAATTGTCCATTTTCTCAGGTGTATAAATGAGTATGAGATCATCTTTACGTCCAATTTCGTATCGTATATCGTATCTGCGATACTTGCAAATAAAATTTTAGAATCAAATAAAGCCAGAACACGGCCTATAATCCCAATGAAAATGAACCTTTATGAACACTTGCCGCGAAATATTACACTTAGATAATAAAATACTTAAATATTGGAACAGGCTACTAAATATTTCTGATATTTACCTCCCACGAAATAAAAAACAATTTGTTTAGTTCTAGATCAAGATGTAGTTTTTTGAAGGTTGAAGATTATATCGTCAAACATACACATTAAAGATTCAGACTTTCTTCGAAAGGAAAAGAACTTCTTTATCGTATAGAAGTTGTAACAATTTTAAACCTATATCCACTGCTGCACCGACGTATTGGCTCACAGAGAGCAGTAAAATTCATTTGTTGCTTTATCTTGATATTATCAAAGATCTATACAATTCTCATGTCCTTATCATCTTAAGTACTTAAATAGTGCTTAGATCGTTAACTTCTAATTTGGCTAATAATCAGAACAACAGGGTAAATTTCAATGATCTATTAAACAAACAAAGATATAACACTAGCGTGGCAAAGTCTAATACAAGTCACAAGACCTTTCACTTCAGGTCAATTACTTCTTTTAATAACTACAAGCAATTAATTATTGTAATTGGTGTATTACAGCTTTTAAGTAAAGTGGAAATTGTAAAGAAATCTAATTAGTGGGGTAAAATAATGTGAAGATGTTATATATAATTTATCAAAATATGAGTTTAATTAATTTTGTTATTTGGATAATTCCATAGTTAATTTTATCCTAAGTACTATATCTTAAGTGCATAGACTAATTTTGATCATTAATATTTATCACTTTTCTTTATCGATAGATGAAGTGTTTATGAGCATATAAAATTATCAATTTTTTCGTGAATATAAAAATGTATGACCTTTCTTTCTTGGTTGCTGACAAAGATATTTAAATCAATATATAAGTGGAATACATCAACTAATGCATTTAGAATTTATTTCATTTAGTTACTCAAACTTGAAGATTCTGTATTGATACAAAATCATGTCATCATGTGATAAGCTGTAAGATATTTATAAAAAAAGTTATTTATTCAAATGCACATTCTACAACGGAAATATTAATAACGGCTGAAAATAAGTAAAATATTTACTTTGCTCATTTTTACTGATTAGGATACAATTGTAAAAGTAAAGCCTCATAAGGCCCTTCCAAGTTACATGACAATGCGGTTTGCTGCATAGGCACATAGTGTTTCTGGAGCTTGAAATTTTTGGCTCAGAGAATATGTATCTGTGTTCCGTTTTTGTCTTTTTAGACATTATACCTGTATGGTATATATTTTATGGATGGTGTTTTTTGTTCATTTTTTCTTTTGGAGTTAAAATAATTCTAAGCATATCTACTTATAGAAATCTGATATAGAATTATGGCAATTTGAAGTTTTTTGTAGTTTAACTACTTTCATTTGTTATCTTCTATCTTTTGTAGATCATATTTTTGCATTATTTTGTTCTTTGGTGTAGATCCCCGGATTACATTTGGTGGAAATAGCATTTGTTTTGTGTATTATTATTCATCTTTCTTCTTTTATCAACTTACTTGTTTAGTATTTAGGACTATTTTATGCAGTTAATTTTTCTCTTTTATGTAGAAATTTGTCTTATTTTATATAGCAGTATAGTTGGTAGTTAGTATTTTTTGTCATTGTTTATCATTAATTGAATTTGTATTTCTTATCTATATGCTTCTATTTATGGAAATTTTTATTACTATCTTACTTTAGGTACTCAATCATCTAGAGTACTTATTATTTTATTTTAAGGTTCACTCAGTAGAATTTTCTGTGACTATTCAATTATTTCTATCCTTTATAAAATTCAATATATCTAAGCAGATATAATTCTATCTGCTTTAACTCAAATTTGGGTTCTGACAGCCGTACCATAACCAAATTTTTTAATATGATTTTTGGGGAGTCCAGTGAACACCCTTTTTGTATATTTTCAATAAAAAACTTCTTCTTCTTCAAGTGCCGTCTCCATCAATGGAAATTAGCGGTTATGGTGGCAAACGTTTGTCTATCTTCAGCTGTTCTTAAGAGTTCCTCAAATTAAAGTCCTGTCCAGTTTCTGATATTACGTAACCAGGACAATTTTTTTCTTCCAATTCCTCGCTTTCCTTCTATTTTGCCTTTTATTATCAACTGAGGGATGTAGTATTTCTCGTTGCGCAAAAAATGCCCTAAATGCCCTAAATAAAAAACTAGAAAACTTATAGTAGAACCAGCTCAAAAGAAAATGAGATCTCTCCTGTTAGGGCTACTTCAAATACATGACCATAGCTCTGATGGATTTGTAAGCCAAAAGCGCTCAGCTAGAGAATAAATAATTGCACACTTCAAAAATACTTTTCTTTTTCCATTTTAAATAAAAACTTTTATTTAAAAAAAACCTACACAATAAAGTTTTCGAACTAATCAGTGTCGCACGAATCCATTTAAGGATCTAACTAACACTAAGTCCATCATCAGTGCAGTTACCAGGTATACATGAGTGAAGCCAAAAAATATGTGGGTATTACCCTTTAAAAGTTGTTAACTTTATAAATTAATACATATGTAGATATTTTACAATTTTAAAGTATTATTAAGACCAAGGCGTGTAGATCTCAAGACGATATAAAACGCAAGACCTACACATATCTGCTCATAAACGTACATGATAATTATACAGTTATAACCAGATTTACATTATGGTAACGTAAGACTTCTAGTGGTCAAGACTTCTAAGTGTTGCCAACCCAAGAGAAGGTGTCTCTGTTGATGTTCGATAACAACTCCCATTCGTTCATCTCTGTTCTTTGTCCTCTAATCATTCTATATATATTTTTTTGTGTTCCGTAGAAGTCGTGTTCCATCTGTTTTGAGAAACTCTGCCAGTGTTCTTTTTTTATTTGTCTGACCAAAGTATTCGTTTCATTTCTGATTCGTTTATAGTGATTGTATACCTGTTGTTTTTGTTTGTGTTTTGTATTGTAAAAAGGCTTTCTTCATTTCTTTACATTTTGTCTTTAATTCCCTTTTTAACCAGGGGGTTTTCCTTTTTATTATGTTAGTATTCGTTACTTTTCTCTCTAAGTGATTTAATTGTTGCGTTATTAATGTTATTTTTAAGGTTTTCCAGCTTTGTTCGATGTGATCGTTTTCTAGCGATCATTGTCAGCGATATTTTCTGGGTATCCATCTGGTCACATTATTGATACCCTAATAAGTTTGCTATAAAAGTACTTGGATTGCTAAACGTTATTGGAAAGAGTTTGTTTGTATATTGGCAGCGAAAATAGTGAGTCGTGTTTTAGATACAAATCAAGTTATATTTGTACGCTTCTTTTATTGCTAAAAAGCCAATTAAAGCCATACATAAATTGTGTATAAGTGAGACAAAACTTAGTTTTAAAACAGAAAAAGTATAAATAGTGAAATGCATACGCAATTTCCAGGCTAGGTCTGTGAAGAGTTTTAAATAGATTGTGCTTAGGTTTAAACTGAAAGATATTAAAAAAGCTTCGTGTAAAAGAGCTAGGTTTAAAAAATAACAGGGTTTTAAAGAAACTGTTATAATTTTAAAAAGGACACGGTTCATTTGTTTATTTAGACGAAACGTAGATTTTTGCTAAGGGTACTAATTTTTGCTAAACACACCGATACTAAGTAAAAGAGACATCTTATATTGCATGCGTGTAGAAACCATGGTTTTATTGATGAAATGGCTCTTGTTTTAGTAACAATCAACATCGGCTGATTATTACGATAACATTAATACGGAGATGTTTGTGAAATAGTTGAAAGAAAAACTGCTTCCAAGTTTACATAAATTATCTAAACATATGTTTGGATAATGAACCGTACCATTCGGAAATTTTAAATAAGCAACTAACAAATTCCAGGACAGTACATAAAATAAAAGAATGATTAACGAATAAAAGTATTACATTTCCTCGGGATTCTTTCAAGCCGGAATTACTACAGTTAGCCAAAAAAAATTAAAAAACAAAAAATATTTATATTAGATTAAATATAATTTTGGCTATAATGTTGTTTTTATATTGTATTTTTTACAGTTTTGTCTTAGTACATTTGCTTAAAAAAATAACAAACATTAGAACTAACATTTGTATTTGTCTATGGTCAAGAATATTGTACATTCTTACCTGTAGGTAAAATCCTTGTCCAAGATAAAGAAAATCTATAGTGGTTTACACCTAGTTCCTTTAACATTGCTATATCTTCCTTAATTTTGTGATATGAGTCACATGCCACATCTCCAGTTGAATGATCCTCAATAAAGTTGGGATCAGTGTGAACTCTATGATCCCAAATGCTTTCTCCCTTGCCATCTTCATTCCATCCTCCTGAGAATTAAATAAAAGTGAGTGTGAAGAATTGATTAGAAATAGAAATAGACACACCATGAACAAATATATTGAGAATATAACTAAATATAATAGCTTAAACAAACCAAATAAATTTAATTCATCAGGTAAGCCAGTTAACAAGAAAATTTGTAAAGCAGCATGAGGAAATAGTTGCCGTTTAAAGTGTACCTCTACAGAGAAAAAATTTAACCGGTTTTTATTGTTTGAAGAATACTACCAGGAGGAGGGATTTTCTTGTAAATTGTATCAGCCAAATTACACCAAAATACTAATATAAGAAGGATGGAAGTAATAGATAACAGATAACAGGTAACAGGAAAAATTTTGCTTTTCATTTTGTTGTTAATGGGACTAAAGTTAGAGTGTGTAAACACTAGTTGGTTAGTACTTTGTCTATTAGTACTATGATGGTAAGGTTTTCTTTAAAACAATTAAATAGAGAAGGCATAATTGAAAGTGATATGCGTGGAAGGCACGGTCATCAAAAATCGACCAGTACTGCCATATTAAAAGGTATCCGGCAGCATATTGAATCAATTGCAAGAATTGAATCCCAGTATTTAAGGGCAAAAACATCTCGAGAACACATTGATGGAGGCCTTAATTTGGCTACTCTATATAGGTGGTATAAATAAAGATGTAAGGAACAACCTTATGCTAAACAGCCCATTCATGCAAAAGTATTTAATACCGAATACAACATTGGTCTATTCAAACCTAAAAAATATCAATGTAATTTATGCTATCAAATGATATAAAAATAGCTCTCTAGAAGAAAAAAATTTAACAGATGAGGAATATAAAACTCACACTAGACACAAAGAACAAGCATGGACCGAAAAACATAACGGTGTAGAACAATCAAGAAAAAATGTAGATAAAAGCATTGTTTTAGTGTATGATTTACAAGCTGTATTACCAACTTCTGTAGGAAAAAAATTCGGCATTTTATTATAAAAGCCAAGTACTTTCAATTTTACTGTTTACAATATTACAAATAAAAAAGCTATGTGCAATGCTTGGCATAAAGCCATAGCTAACAGAGGTTTAAATGAAATTGGTAGTTTTGTATTTAGTTATCTAAAAGACCATTTGTGTTGAGAAAGAAACAGTAATATTTTATTCTAATAACTGCTGTGGAGAGAACAAAAACAAATATGTTTGTGCTATGTATTTATATGCTGTTAATTGATTACCAATTTCAATAATCTACCATTAATATTTAACAGTAGGACATACCCAAAATGAAGGCAATAGTGTTCACTCAACTATAGAAAAAGAAAAAGAAAGAATGCTTAGGAGTACCTCTATCTATGTTCCATCTCATTGGGTTCCAGTTATCGCACTGGCAAAGACAAAATGTAAACCATATTCATCATTCAAGCCCAGACTGAAAACGTTTACGATTTAAAAAATCTTAGTGCAACAAAGGTCTGCTGGAATTAAATAACAAATTTTAAATTTGAAAAATGAGTCGATTTATAAAACTAACTTTGATGACAAAGAATTTTCTTTTCAAAGAAATAAAAATTAAAGACAAAGCTAGAGGCCCTTAGAAAACAGTGGCTGATATTAGTCTTATTACTGCGTTTAACGTACCTCCGGCGATAACAACTAAGGAAAAGGCTGAATTAGTTTCATTGTTTTGATTTTACATGGAAATGAAATGTTAAATAAACATGAAAGCAAAGTCAACTAAAGTGATGGACGACCATGCCAATACGGAATGAAAATTCTATTATGTATTTACTATTTTGTTTAACGATAATAAAGTGTACTAAAATTATTGTGTTGTTATTGTTAACGTATTGTAATGTATATTATGTCAAAACTGCCTTTCAAATGATCAAATTTTACCCGTGCAAAACTATCGCAAGTTGAAATTGTATGAACATAATTATTTACAAAGTATTAATTTATATTTTGTATATAGTAATATGAAAAGTAAAAACTATTAGAAACTCACAAAAAAGAATTACTTACATAAATTTATTTTTAAAAGAGTTTAAAAAAGCTATATTTTAGAGGAAAATTAAATTGTTGATTTTGTAAAAAGCAATTTTTTTGTTATGATAGTCTGGTATTGATGGTGCGAATATTCTTCATAAATTATTCTCTCGCTATTAAAGAAATTTATACCAATTGTCTTTGAAAAATTTCAAGGATTTTTCTCGCTTTTACAAGTATTTACTCTGATATAGTACTATCTGTTATACTAGTATATAGACTCGAGACAATAGCGCAGATCGGCGCTGAATTCCGGTAAACGGAAATCTGCCTTCACTGGGTTGGTTCGCTGATGGTATTAATGGTTTTCTGTTTTATAAATGTAAGGTGGTTTGCTCATATTAAAGTTTCATTCGGATTTTGTCTGCAGCATTCTTTATTAATAACTATCCTTGAATTCTTGGTTATACATTATTTTGTCTCTAAGTACATTTCATAAAGGAGCAATATTTTGTCCTTAAGTGATTCTTTAATCTAAAGTAATTTACCTGTATTCATTATTATATTAAATTCAAAATATTTTCACCTAATTAAATAATATAATATACGCTTATATTTTACCTTCAACTTGGTACGCTGAACTTGCCACGCCGAATAAAAAGTCATCAGGAAATTTTTTATTGTTGATTGGATCGTCTGCCAAGCTGATAAAAAGTTTTATTTAATAAGTTTTTAAATTAAAACAACTTGTTTATGTTGTCAAGTGGGAGAACATATTCTTATAATGATTCGGACATTTCTATAGTGTCCTGTTCATTTTAAGAATCGTAAAGTTTACACTAGAGCTCTGGTAAACAGAAACCTTTTAATATTCTAACATGCTCCCTAAAGCATCTAAAATTAAATTCAAAAATTTAAAATTATCCTAATTTTTGCGATTTTTTTTAAATTAGTCATTAATATGCTTTAATCTTGTGGATTTCTTCATTTTAATATTAATATTTTTTTATATATTTTTAACATTTAAACTAAAGCCATATTACAGAAAAAAAACATTTAAACTACATTATGTTTCTATGAAAAATACCCCTAAGGTACTTGTACGAGTTTTTTAACTATTGTTTTGTAGAATACTGTAATCTTACCTTACCTTACCATAAGTCCTTTGCAACTACTTATAACAATATACAGCTCAGCTACATATTCTTATTTTTTACCTCGTTTATAAGTTTTGAAAGCGTTTTTCTCTTTATTTGTGTCTCGCATATTTTGCTTATATATTGATATCGACAATTTATTATTGTACGAATCGTAATATGTGAATATAGAAAAATTAAAAAGCCTGAGAAAAAGAAAAATGACCCAAATTTATAAAATATAGAAATATATAAAATTTAGAGATATGAATATATTCACATCTAGTACAGTCGTCAAAGAGTGGATCCCAAAAATCATATGAACAAGCTGAATTTTGCCGACAATATTAATTTTGAGACCCCAAAAAAGATACAAAAAGGTTTACCACTTTTAGCCCCGGGCTTACCCCTAAAACCCCTCGGTAGGGCGGTAAAAACACAAAAAAATGGATTATTCAAGAGTGTGTACGTCGTAGAAAAAAATGTTTCAAATTAAAATATAGCTAAGATAATTTTAATCAAAAATAATTATAAATATTTTTGTTAAGAAAGAACCGTACTTGTAGAAAATTATTCACATTTTCTACAATAGTTTATTTATTATTCTAATAATTATTATTATTCCACTAAATTGTCTTTTAAATTAAATTAAAGTCTATACGATCAGCACGACATCCCTTATTCGTGCTGTTTCGTATCTTCTGCGCCTGTCAGAATTTTACATTAATCTATTCAAATCAACTACCCTTAACTTCACTTCGTTTCTGCCTTCTCAAATAGAAGGACGTAAGTCAAATCATTTTCTCAGCTTCTCAAATAGAAGCAAGTTATTGTTTTCACGCTTCTCAAATAGAAGCAGTTTTCAATTAACACATTTTATTAAATAGTTAATTAAAGTAAACTCAGTGTCTGTGCATAAAATATGTAAGTACCTGAAATAATTTTTTCATACAGAAGATAATCTACGGTTTCGTGCCAACTTTTCATGAATGCCGGCCCGACAAATTACAGGGTTGCCGGATATTCAATAATCTACATATAAACTTTATTGTTCTATATTTTCATATAAACAGTTGTGCGTTTAAATAACATTGTACATAAACATTTATATTTTATTATTATAAAAAGGATGATTGGTTGGCGATTCCGCTTTTTTATTTATTTTTGTAAATAATGTAATAAAAATATTTCTAGATTTTATTCTTATTTTAATTATTTCATTTTCTATTTTACTACTCACTACATAATTACATATCCGCAAGTTTGCGACCTATGGGTCGCTGGTCCTTCGAGGTTTAATTAATTTTTTATCTACCAAATGTAGGAAGGTGAGATCATAATTTTTCAAATATGTACTTATTTACTTTTAATTTATCGAACCAGCTACCTCATCCTTTCCCCTACAGTACTCTTAGAAACAACTCTTGAAGCGTCCTATCGACAAAAATCAAGATGCGTTTGAAAGATGTAAGTGCAGCTTTCGTAATCAGTTTTTGTGTTTTGCTGCGAATAAACTCTGTTTTAATAAAGCTGATAACTATAATATACATATATATATATATATATATATATATATATATATATATATATATATATATATATATATATATATATTACCAAAGATAATTACTATATTTTGTTTTTGTTTTATTTTATTTTTTTCGTATTAATTTGTAAGTTTGTATAGTTTTCTTTAAGTAAAAGTTTTTCGTACACATTTTGTGTAAAAATACCTTAAAACTCTCTATAAGAGCATGCTAATGGTCGATAAAAGTTATAATAAAAAATAAAGCATGTTTTAAAAATTTTATCAAAAATTCAGTGGGTGCTTATTTTTTGTGCCAGTATGTGTATCTAAATAAGGTTATAAAAAGTTTTAGGCTTAGAAAATATAATTTTAAGTAATATTAAACTAAAAACGATGAAATCCACAACATCTAAGCACAGATTTAATTAAAAATGTAATTCATATTGAAATGACTTCGAGTTTAACTTTTAGTAGCTGTTTATAATTAAATAATTACTTAGTAAAAAAAGTTATCAAACACCCGTAGATCTATAAGGCAATCAAAGAATATAATCTCCCACTCACCCTCAAGAAGCCATAATATAAAGAAAAAGCATAATATTAAAAAATAAAACAGCCAGCATTTGGCAAAATAAGCTACTGCTATTATTTCCAGTTGTCATCATCTTAATTACTTCCAGTAGAAATTATTGAATGAGGCTTCACTGAACTATAAGGGGTTTTTTTACCATAGTACTTATCTATCGGCAAATTTTGGGGATTTTAGACTGCACGTTTTTTGAAAAATTACTCTAACTAGCTTGTAATTGAAACTAACCACCTACTAAAGAAGATGCTGCATATAAAAATTAAACATGAAAAAAGAAATGAGAGAAGAAGTAAATTAAGGCACATTACAGAAAAAGGGGGTAAAACATAAAGGCAATTTTATTGGCCATATTAATTGACAATATGATAAAAGAGAACATAGCAGATATTTTGGGAAAAAAATCAATAAAGTAAAATAGAAAGAGGTAGTCCTCAGATGCTATTGAGCGACGATCTTAAGAAGCATGATAGAACAAGATCGATAACCACAGTACTGTAAATAGATTAATGAAAGTGATAACGGGAAGCTTATGACTAGACTTAGGCAAATATGCAAAATGTATATATTGCATATTTTATGCAAATATCTAGAAGATTTTGCATATCTTTACAAAAAATTGAACAAAATGCATAAACATTAATTTATTTGAAATTGTGGATTTTCAATAATATTTATCAAACTTTAGGTAATGGTATGACTAAGTAATTAAAAATTCCAATGTTCATTTTATTTCAATATTTTAGTCTTCCATATTACCGGTAGTACATATAGATACTTCCTAATATTCTTAGTATTGTTGTAGCAGGTAACCGATTATAATAAACTCGTAATAAAAGGATGTTTTAAAAGTTTATTGGGTGGGGTATGAGAATAATGGTCCTTTTGCAAATAATTTTGTTTTTAAAAGTAAAAGTAAAAACTTAAGCATTGTCAGTCTAGCTTGTTTAATTGTTAACTATTTTGATTTTAAAATGCCAAAAATAACCAATGTTGCTACTTGGATTAAACCTTTTAAAGGGTTATATATGGATATGGACAAAGTTTATTGTCAAGTTTGTGGCCAAATTGTAAATACTAAATATTTAATACTTTTCTATATTTGATATGTTTATTTTAGCCAAAAAGACAAAGCTAAATCTGTAGTTATGTAAGCATTTATGAGTCTGTTTATAATAATAAATGTATAATTGATATTTCATTTGATCTTGGATTCTCTCTAGATATTCAAAAATCGATAAATTTTGGCTTAATTTGAATGAGTTTTGTTTAAAAGGAAGGAGATTTAGCTCAAATGCTATATGGCAGTATTTGTAAAGTGGGATAATCACCGGTTTGTTGTTGTGTTCCGTGTCACGGGATTTAAAAACAGCGTTTCAGAGGATAAAGAGGCCTACATGATTTTAAGTGAAAAATTAAGCAGCACAGTTTTGAAGAATACATATTGTATCATCCAAAATAGTCTGAAGATCTATTCGATGTTTGACCTTTACCAAGATTTGTCCAGCTTTTATTTTGTATCTCCCATGGGAGATAGTTAAGAAGTTTGTGTGGGACAGTGTTTTTGTATCTAATACAAAGAAAAGAAAAACATTTCTAAGTACAAGAGGATTCTTTTAACGGCGTCCTATTTTAAATTGTTTAGGAATCTTCTGGTGTAGTGTTGCCCAGGACATCTCTGTAAGTATTTTTTTTTATTTCTTTTTTGTAGTTAGTTCTCCCAATCCTTCCCAAATAAAGAAATCCTTATCCGCGATTTAGCTCTTCAGCCAAAACACGAGTATCTATCTGCAAACGTTTTAATTTATTTTGTTATCCTATTTCCAAGCACAGTAACTGTTTGGTCCCCCTTTTAATCCCCTATAAGCAAATTATTAATTGTTAGAAATCTGGATAAGAATATCCAGCTTCGGTTTCTAAGTCTTATCGGTTAAAAGTTTTTAAGTTCAAAAGAAGGATACAATACTTTTAATAAAGACTTGTGTCATACATTATTCGCTTAATATATCATGATCATCATCATATTTGGCTCGACAATCCTCTGTGGATCTTGGCCTGCTCTAAGATTCGTCGCCATTCTGTTCGGTTTTTGGCAACATGTTGCCATCTTCTGATTTTTAATATTCGTAAGTCGGTTTCTACTCCATCTAACCACCTAATTCGCGGTCGGCCTTTGCTTCTTTTTCTTACAGGTGTTCCTGTTGTTAGCTTTTTAGCAGTGGTATTTTCTGGCATTCGTATTATGTGTCCAGCCCATCTAAGTCGCTTTGTTTTATCGCTTAACATATACTGCATTCAAAATCATCCAATGACTCCAAAGATAAGCCATGTCTACTTGTTCTATCGTCAGTAACAGATATTATAAAAATTAATATTAATATTACTTTTACGTGTGTATTAAAGAAATCGCTGATTCGTCAGGAAGATAAATCGCACATTTAATGATTGGTGTTTTAAGCGATCAGATTCCATCAAAACCCATTCTAACACGATGGGGAAAATGGTTGGAAGCCGCTTTTTTCTATTAAGACTATTTCATAGATTTAAAGAATAAATTGACGCTTTAACGGATAAAATTTCTCACCTCTGCTAGATGCTTAACAAATATTTAAAAACAACGTTTTTCAGCAATAACTTTTACTCATTAAACTAAATTTTAGTTAAATGTTAACTAAATTTTAGCGCTTTAAAAAACTATTACTCAGTTATAATCATCAAAGTGGTCCTTGATAGAAAGCATAGCCTTAATATAAGAAATGAGATCAGCTTGTCAAAACGTTAAAGGTGACACTGAAAAAGATATTTTTTACAAATTTAAAAAAATAATTATAAAAAACAATCCAGAAACTTACTGAGGTAGCTGACATTTGGATTAGTTGATATTTTTGTGAATTTAAAATATGCTCTCATTACATCCAATTTACAAACATAGGTACACAAATAGAGACCATAAGTTTCTATTGTAAAATTTTGAAAAACATTCGGTTATTTATTGTTACCATAATCCTAAGGAATAGTGTTTTACTTTTTACTAATTTTATTACAATTAATTAGTACATTATAAATACCTGCTTACTTTTTAAATTTATTTATATTGGTTTCTAATTAATAAAATAAACAATAATTAATATACCATTATTAAAAATATGTTTTCGATGACAGTATGCATATTTTCTAAAAAAAAAAATGCATATTTAATGCACATTTTTTAAAAGAACTGCATATTTTTGGGTAAATTAGTCCATTATTCTCATATTTTTTACTTTTTTGCTTATTTGCCTAAATCTACTTATGACAATAATCAATAGAATAAAGTCCAATACATAGAAACAAGAGAAATATTTCAGAAAGCACTATAAAATGTAGCACAATAAAATAAAACGAATAAAAATGGAGAAGATTATTCTCTATAATGAATCCTTTTTCACGATAATTAAATTAACACATATATTATTATATATATATTTATTATAAAAGGAAACTAATTACCTTAAACCAAGCAGGAGCGAAATTAAAATCACCTTCATCGTAAAACTCAATCTGCACCTTTAACCACCACAGAAAGTTTTTTACAAATACTTAAATTCCCTTATCTTGATAACAAAAATTCAATTTTAGTAAGTTGACCTCAACTTAAAGTAGATTAATTGTAGTTTATTGATTATCGATTGTGATTTTTGAAGATTAATTTACCTGTGAGCAAATAATAGATAATCATCTACTTTGAGATAGGTTTTGTTTTGTAGCAAGTTTTCTATGCTATAATGCACGGTTGTACTATGTGTAAAATTTATTTTCAGCTGAATCAAGAATACTTTTTGTAATCTTTATTTATCAATCTATAAAAAAACGACAAAATTTAAATCTCTTCTAACAAGAAATACTGTGTCTTTTACCTTTTTTGCTCAGGGAGTTTAAGAATTCAAATTACATATGAAGTAGGGATATTGTAGAGCTTCTTCTGAATATATTTTTGATTATTACACCAAAACCTATCAGTTTAGTTTATAGCACATAATATAAGACTAAATTCAACTTCTGTGGATTAGTCAGTAGTTATAGAATCCACTGAGTAGCAACTTTGTGATATCCAAGATTATATAATATAAAAACTCACGGTGATACTGAATATGTAGAAAAACGTTCTCGTTTTCATCCGCATATTTTTATGTAAAGTAATTTCTTGCTGTGTTAAAAATTTTTATATTGGTGTACCGCTACGTGAAGATTTAGAACGGATCAAATCAATAATCTTCCTGTTTAAACATTTCTGCACCATAAACATCCATCCTAGTGCTCTACAGTCCAATTCCAGCCTTGGCCACCTGCATACTGTAAATGTAGTATCTGGCCTATTAATTCACAAACTTTTAACGATTTGGATTTTATTGATGTATATAGAAGATAATGAAGAAAATTTCACTTTAGAAGGAAATACTTCTTCTTATTCCAGAGAGAGTAATACCATCACAGAAGCTTCAACTTTACTTAACACAACTACCGAAAGTTTACCGAAAATTATATTATAAGCAATGTTCATTTATTTACAAAAATGATAAGGTCCTCTAAAACTTTAAAAAACAGTTTCTTAGCTCGCAAGCTATACCTTAGGGTAGACCTATATTGGAACCGTATTTCTCCCGATCCGATCGGGTTCGATGTAAGCCGATTTTTCCATAGGACGTCGGTCGATGTGAGTACCTATACTCGTTCAGTTAACATCCGACCACCGACAATGAGTTCCGATGAACATTTAATGTGTTGGGTGTTGTTAGAAAACAACGTTCTTAAAAGAATTAGAAGAAAACGTACATGAATACATAAATTTAATGAAGAAAAATCTTCAGGAGAATTTAATAAAACTTTCCAAACTTTACGTAACTATCCTGATAAATTCAAATAGTACCAAAGCATGACTATAGAAATCTAACTATACAATCTAAGCCAATCTAACTTCAGAGAATGTATCAGCTCCGAAGAAAAACTTAGGGTACACCTATATTGGAGCCGTATTTCTCAACTCGATCAATAAAAATTCCTCTGTCCATTATTGCCATTTGGCTCTCGTCGGAACGAAAAATCGGAATGAAACCAAATAAGTTTGATAGGAGAAGCTACTCAGTCCGACGCCGGCCGATATCGGTCGTTATCTGATCGGAGTTCCCACTGCAGTATAGGCGCTATGCATTAATACCTTAAGTTAGTTTTCAATCCGACGTCGGCCGACATCGCCCGATGTCGGATCGAGAGAAACACGGTTCCAATGTAGATGTACACTTATTCAGCACTTTTACTAAAGCGAAACAAGGTCAAGTTTGGTGATAGTAAAAAAAGAGGAATATAGGAAGATCTAAACCCCAAAAAAGAAACTTAGTTCTTCATCAAGTGATTCAGATGCATCATTGAACATGAAAAATTCAGACATAGACATGATCTAAGATTATAAAATGGATGGTTTACTTGACGATAACAATATTACTATAGGATTTTACTTTTTCAAAATTTGCAACAAAAGAAACATATTATTTTGGCTGTGTTCAAAATACTAGTAGTATCACCGACCCAGCTGAATCAGTGATCAAATTTATGAGAAGAAAGCAAAATTGTTCTACTCGAATTTTTCTACTCGATACAGGATGATAGTAGATCCATACTTAAGCACTACATTGTAGCTAAACTGTCAAACCTAATTAAGATCCAGAGAGTACCAGAAGGCCGGCATCTTATATTCACTTTTATGTTTTATTTATGAACTATGTTTTAATTTTGTGTTGTTTTATGAAAACCATTACTAACTTTATGAAAAAGATAAATTTTGTTATAACCTGATTCTATCGTTTTCACCATTGGGACAGCTTGAGACTATTTTTTGTTCAACTGCCTTACCAAAGGACACATTGGAAAAATTGTGTATGTATTTTTTTTTCTATTTTTGTTACACACTATATATAAATTTATACCTAGTTCACAAAAAATAATATCGTGAAATATCATTCTATTATTCTGTTTGCTAGACTTGCTAATACAAACATGTGAAATTAAAGCTTCCGTTAAAAATTGTACCAAACTAACCCACCCTATCCTTCTTAAAAAATAATTAAACAAAAATAATTAAATTTCTTTGCCAAGTCCACGAATGCATCGCTAGATAGTAATCCCACTGCAAATCGCGAGGATAACCTCAAAAAAAATATATGCTACTCATCATAGGAAATCATGGGAATTTGTAGCAGCAATAAATTTTCACCTCGGAACTCGCCATTCAAAATACTGGCTTGCAGTGCCCTAATATACGAGTGTTTTGATATAGGTTCAATCCGCCGAGCCCGTGATATTTTGCTTTGAGATAAAAGCAAGATTTAAGATGTAAGGAATCGTACACTATACGTCCCCGGACATTCTACACGGTAATGTCCGCGTCTGCCACCTTCAGTTACTTTTACCTCAGTCTAGACCTTAGTTTGTGTGCTTGTTTCTCTTGTTTTCAAAACATTTTTGATATGTAAAGTTCGCGTCTTTTGCTTTTTGTAGATTTAAAAAATATTATTTCATTTATTTTTATAAAATCATGGGAAATTTATAACCAGGATGGATGAAATGATAGAAAAACTACTGATGGTATTAGTGACATAAAGAATTATAATTATGTGAGATGAAGCAGAGCTCTACAAACAAAAAATCGAAAGACTCGGTTAAAGCCAATTTGTTGCTGGTTTAATAGCTCTAGAAAAAGAACCGACATTTACTTACGTCGCCAGGCATGGTGATGCATCATTCGGATGTAAAGGCAGCTAAGGTAGACATCGAAACTAATAGAAGCTAAAGGATACATCCCCCAGATAGTCTTTAACTGTGACGAAGTTATTTGGCGGGCAAATAGAAAGGCAGTGCTCACCAGGACCTTCTTTGTGGGGTAGGTAATCCTGGTGTTTGACCCTGCTAATAAAAAATATCTACAGAAAACAACCTATCTATGGCCATTTTCGTCGTTGGCAATACCCCTGTTATTGCAAATCGTTAAGATACTTTACTCGAAAAGTTTAAGTTTATAAAGGTTCTCCACCTATCACCCAATACCACTCCTATCCTGCAGCATATGTATCAGCACACGGTGTCTAATTTTAAGAAGTTTTACACCATCACATTTTTCGGCGCTGCTTTGAGGTGACAGAAAGCACAAACCTTACCCTTTGAGAGTTCTGTAAGAACCACTTTAATATCATGATATACCTTAAAATTAATAATCACGTTTAGCTTCGTGTTACAACCAGAACCTTAACCTCTGCATGAAAGAATATCCTGTATCCTGAGGCTGTAGCTGAAAGGGTCTTGGAAGGATTGGGACTCGAAGTATCAGTATTAGAAGAAATTGCTCTTTGGGAAAATCTATTTGTCTGGAGGTGTTTGGAAGAGATGTGGAACAAATCGTCAAGGAACAGCCTCAGGAGGTGATAGCCAAGAAGTTACACGATATATATATTCGCAGCAGCATGTTCAACGAAAAATTGGTTTGGAAGAGGAGCCAGAGATATAGGAGGTTATCTCTATAAGAGATATAAAGGAGATGTTAAGAGTGTGTGAGAACATTGTAGAGTTGGTGGATAAAAATCACACAAAAAAATTACATTGGTCGAGCATCGAAGTTGTTCAACGAAACTTGTATAAATGAAAAGCGAAAATCAGTGATGAAAATTAAGCGCTCCTATAAGTACTTCACTTTTTCTTTATTATGTTATTTTTTATTTATTTGTTATTCTTGTAGATACATTATTTATATGTTATAAATAATTTATTCTTGTAGATACATTTTTTTTATTCAAAAACACTTTACAAACATATCTGAAATTGTGTTAAGATTGCTTTATTGCTTTAAGATACGAGCAATTTGACATACAAGCAAGGTGATGGAACGAATGAAACTCATATATCGAGGTACCACTGCATATGGTTCGACAAGATATCTGGTAAGTGCAATAAGTTTGTCAACTCCGTTGAATAGTTTACAGTTTTGTTGGCATAGAAAACTGTATCGACCTACTTGTATGACACCAAGTAGCCTGGTAACAACTGTTGTATCTTAAAATTTAAATCGTTCACGTCTACATTTTTTGCTGCTAAAATGACTCTTTCTATCAAGCATTCATGATGCATGTATTGTGTGGTATATCGGTACGTATATGGTCGATGAGATTATTTTGCGACTTGTAGAATCGTGTAGAAATCTGTCAGCAATTTTATGTATCTCGTTTATAAATCGACAGTAAATTTTCCATCGGAGATCTTCGAAAATGTGTTAGCGTTTGTATCTTGAAAGATTTAAACAAGTATGTTTAAATATGCCTGTACTTTTTTAATAGTACGCTACAGTGATGATGATTTAAAGGCGCGTACAGATATGCAAGCCAAACGGTATACGTACCGTACGAGTACAGATCCTTGAAAATATATCTACATCGTACTGATCGCGTACTTATCTCGATCCATGGAAAGCGATAAAACCAACAACAAACACACATGTGCGAAATGATTCATTTTATTTGTAATTTGGGCACTGATTTATCGTGTTTCTGTAAATCAAGACAGCATTAAGCAAATTTTGCTTGTTTAACAAAAATAAAAATATGTACAGTAATCAGTTTACTGTTTTTTCACGTCTCTCTAGGAAGTAACACGTCATTCATACAATGTCGATTTGATGAGACAATAAAAATGTTCGCTGCGTCTAGTAGCGCCGTCCAAACTGAAAGACTAGCCTCTTTTGAACTCGTGGAATAAACCGCAACAATTTACCGCAATAAACCGCAAACAGTACTCATACAGCCCGTTTGGCTCGTATATGTATACCGAGCCGTTTACCGAGATTAAATTTAAAAAAAATTGGGCTAAAAGGAACTACAACATTAAAGGGTTTTATTGTTGTATATAATGTTACCATTTAAAGGGATGCATTTTAAGAAATGAGTGAATTTCTCCCTATGTACTAGGGTGTATTTGGGTGAATTCTTTGCACTTTTTGTACATTTACATCTACAGAGAAGTTTTTCAAAATTAAATTTCCCAACGTCACCTTTTAAAGTCAAAAATAATTTTTTTTGACAAACATATATTCAAAAAATGTAGCAAAAAAACAGGTTTACACACGATTTTGCCAAGTTTTACGGCTATTTTTGAAATTTTTCATTATAACTTTTTTCATTGTATATTTAGGTATTTGTATTACTAAATAAAATAGAAAGCTTATTTTCTCTACTTTAAAATAGTCTGTTGTAAAATATTATATGATTAACGTTAACTAATATATGGCTCGTCAAATTTTGATGTTTGCAACGATTTGTATATACATAAATGAACAAGGAAAGAATACTCCAGTGGCAGTAGTCAGAGACAAAAATCCACTGAACCTCTAAAAGCGATATGAACAAGCTGAATTTTGCTGAGAATGTCAATTTTGTGATACTGAAAAGCTGCGAAAAGTTTTTCACTTCTACTCATAGGCTTCCCCCTAAAACCCACGCTATAAAGGGGGCATTGATTTAACAAGAATCTGTACGAAGTAGAAAAAAATGATTCAAACAAGAAGTGTAGTTGAGATAATGTTGAACAAAAATGTTTGTTAACATTTATTCTGTAGAATGAACCGTTCTCTCAGAAACAACGCTCGAAGCGACCGGCGATTTTAAATGTAATTATAAATTTTCTGTCATCATCATCATCATCAATCAGCCAATCGCGTCCACTGCTGGACATAGGCCTCCCTCAGTTCTTTCCAGTGTTCTCTACACTGGGCCGCTTGTAGCCAGTTTCCCGCTACACGTTTAATGTCATCGGTCCATCTAGTCGGTGGTCGTCCTCGGCTTCTTGTATAATTTCTGGGCCTCCATTCCATAATACGTCTTGTCCACCGTCCATCTTGTGTTCTGGCTAAGTGCCCTGCCCAGTTCCACTTAAGCGTCGTGGTTCTTTCGATGACGTCTTGAACTCCTGATCTTCGCCTAATTTGTTGGTTTGTTATGTGGTCTCGAAGGCTCACGTTCAGCATTGCACGTTCCATGGCTCGTTGTGTAACTCTAAGTTTATTCGCAGATTTTTGCGTGAGTGTTAATGTCTCTGCTCCATAAGTTTGTACATTGGTTATAAACCTTTCGCTTGAGACACATGGGAATTGAACTTTTTAGAATATGGCTTAATTTGCCAAATGCTGCCCATGTTAGACCTATTCGCCTCTGTATTTCATGTGTTTGATTGTCTCTGCTTATTTTGATTTCGTGTCCCAGATATTTGTAAGTGTTTGTTTGTTGTACGGTATTATTGTCAATAGTTATATTTCCACTCATTACGAGATTTGTTAAAATTTTAGTTTTCTCAAAGTTTATCTTTAATCCTGCACTTTCAGACAGACTTTTAAGCAAATGCATCATAGAAACCGTATCTTGTAAGTTATCTGCGATTAATACAACATCATCTGCAAACCTCAGGTGATTTAATCTTTCTCCATCTATATTGATGCCCATATCTTGCCATTGAGTACCCTTAAATATTGACTCTAGAGCTGCCGTGAACAATTTTGGTGAAATATTGTCTCCTTGTCTAACTCCTCGACCTAAGCTGAATTTTTCTGTGTCTTCGTGCAGTCGTATACTTGATATAGCGTTCTGATAGATGTTTTTGATTAGTGTCGTGTACCTGTAATCTATTCGGCTTTGATTTAGGGCTTCCAGTATTGTTTCAAACTCTACAGAATCAAAAGCCTTCTCGTAATCGACAAATGCAAGAACCAGTGGTATGTTGTACTCGATGCACTTTTCTATTAATATCTTTATGGTATGCAAATGGTCATTTGTGCCATATCCTGCCCTGAAGCCTGCCTGTTCTTTGGGCTGATAGAAATCAAGTTTAGGTGTTAGCCTCTTTGCTAAGATTTTCATAAAGAGTTTGTACATATGTGTCAAGAGGCTGATGGGTCTATAATTTTCTAATGTAATTTTCTGTAGATGTCCGTATATGTACGAAAATTGCATAGAATTCACCTAAATGCACCCTAGTACACGGGAAAAATTCACCCCCTTCTCAAAATCGCATGTCTTTCAATAGTAGAACTCAGCGCATTTTTCGTGTTTGGGGTCCATTGACCATATGAAACAATAAAACCCTTTTAACGTAGTAGTTCCTTTTTAAAGAACATAATCAATAGCCTAGTTATATAGTGCTGCCGAATAGTTTGTTGCTGTTTTTTATTTCTTTCAGCGTTCTGTCCAACGCATCAAGTGAATGTTTGAGTGCATTATTCGTTATTATTCCTCCTCCTCCTAAGTGCCTTCTCTATTGAGGTTGGCGATCAATATGGCAAATTTTTCTCTGTTCTGGGCTTGATGGATTAAGTCATTTCCTGTTGTGTGAGTCCAATCTCTGATGTTTCGGAGCCAGGATTTCTTCTTTCTTCCTATACCTCGTTTACCCTCGATTTTGCTTCTAATATTACCTGGAGCTGCTCAAATTCCTTATGGCGCATTATGTGTCCTAGATATGACGTATTTCTAATTTTGATTGTTAATTACCAGATGAGGTCGTGTGTTCATCATATCTAGTACCTCTTCATTTGTAGTTTTGCTGGTCCAGCTTATTCTTAGCATTCGGCGGTACATCCACATTTCGAATGAATTCAGTTTGTTGACGTCATACTGTTTTAATGTCCAGGTCTCACAGCCATATAGTAGTAGAGACCACACATAACACTTTAGTGTTCTTAACCTTATTGTGATTGATAGCTTGGGGTTACAGAGCATTTTACGCATGTTCATGAAGCCAGATCTTGCTATTTCAATACGTCTTCTAATTTCTTTTGAGTGGTCTAGCTGACTGTTTAGCTCTCTGCCCAAGTATATGAAGCTTTGGGAGCTCTGAAAGGTGATACCATTGATTTGTATGTTGGGTGTAATTTGTTCATGGGGGTTCTTGTGGAATACCATGCTTTTGGTTTTGGAAAGATTAATATCCAAACCTAGTCTGTGACTTTCTTCTGATAGTATGTTCATCAATATTTTTAGTTGGTCTTCTGTTTCTGCTAATACTACGGTGTCATCGGCATATCTTACATTGTTAATGATGATTCCATTGACTCTGGCACCTTCAGGGCGATCTTCAAGAGAAGTTCTGATGATATTTTCAGCATAGACATTAAATAAAAGAGGGGACAGAATGCACCCTTGACGCACTCCTCGTTCTATGTTTACATTATTGGTATTTCCATTATCTCTTCGAACACATCCTGTGTGGTTCCAGTATGTATGTATTGCTTATTATAGCTATGTCGTATCCGTCCAGCCCTACTTCTTTTAGCACCTCAATCAATTTTTCGTGTCTAATGCGGTCGAAGGCCTTTCTATAATTGACAAAGCACACATACAGCTGCTTTTGAACCTCGAGATACCTTTCTGCCATTGGTGTCAATCCCATTATTGCTTCTCTGGTGCCTGTACCTTTCCTAAAACCATATTGAGAATGACTCAGGTATTCTTCACACTTATTGTAAATGCGGTTATAAATTACTCGCATAAAAATCTTAGCAGCATGACTCATTAGGGATACAGTTCGATGGTCTTCACATTTCCTTGCTTTTTGTTTTTTAGGAAGAGCTATATATGTGGATGTTAGCCAGTCATGCGGTAGAGTGCCATGTTCATATATAATGTTAAAGAGGTAGGTTAATTTCCCGACAGCATCATCACTCAGGTGTTTAAAATGTTCGGCTGTTGTTAGATCTTCGCCGGTGCCTTGTTGTTCTTTGCGTCTTTTATTGCCCGCATAACTTCTTCGGTTAGAATACTTAGTTTTCCATCGGTATCTATTTGTGGGGGCCCTTCTGCTCTCCGATCACCAAACAAATCTTTAAGATATTCTTTCCATATTTCCTTCTGTTTTTCAGGGTCTAATTTCATTTGGTTTTTCGTGTTTTTACAATAGATAAATGTTTGGGTTTCCATATCCCAGCGACTTCTTTCACCTTTCTGTGTAATTCTCTATCTTTATGCTTCCTTTGCAGATCTTCTACTTCTTTACATTTTTCTTTTATCCACTCTTCCTTAGCTACATTTATCTTTCTCTCAATTTCCGTGTAAAGCTCTTTATATCTTGTTAGGTTTTTGTTTTTTACCATCCGTCTCCTCTCCATAATTTGTAATATTTCGTTTGTCATCCATGGTTTTCTTTGTTTACGGTTTTCTTTCTATATATTTTGGTTTGCTGCCTCCAGGACAGTATTTTTAATTTTTCCCCACATGTCTTCAATGTTTTCTTTTATTGTCTTCTCTTTAGTGGGAGCTAATGTCTTAGACTCTAACTGCGTGTCTACCATGTCTTTATACATATGTTTTTGTCCCTGGTCAGCACTACTCCATGCACCCTACGATTGTGGTCTGAATTTATGTCACAGCTTGGGTACGTTTTTATATTTAGAATACCATTACGGAACCTTTTATTCGTTATTATTAATATGTGCTGATTATTAGTATTGCACTTATCTGAGATAATAATTGCAATGTTTCAGCATTGTGACCATGGACGATTATTTTTTTATGTTACACATTGCGTCTAGTTTATTTTGAATATTTATTGGCAGGTTAAGTGTTGAATGAGCTGTTTTGCCTTTATCCAATGAAGGTGCAATAAAAAACTAAGTAGATTTAATTAACGTTCAAATTAAAAAGGTAGACAGGTATAGAATAGGATTTTATTTGTTTACAAATTTCTTTGAAATACTCTTTATTTATATTTAATATAAGTTTTATTCGACACAATTTTCTACCAAACATCTTGTGGCTATAACATTTTTATAAAACATTGCAGATGGCCTTGCTGTTCTTGTTCTGTTTGGAGAACTAAAATCTACTTCATAAAGTCCATATTTTGGGCTATAATAAAATATAGGTTATTTTCTTTTTTAATGACACAAAATTCTTTCTTACTTACATATATCCTGATATCCATTCGAAATTGTCCATAACACTCCAAACGGTATAGCCCAAAATACTGACGTGATCCTTTTCCATGGCATCCCTAAAAGCACTTAAGTAACCCTAAAAATAAGATAAAATGTATTTAGAAAGTATCATTTTCTTCTTTCTAATTAATAATTGTTGTTTAATGATGGTTCAACGCTGTTATTGTGCTTCTTAATGCTTACTTTGATTTTTTACATAATTGTAATAATTGTAAATAAGACGATCATGCAATCGAATATTTAGAAAATATATTTCTCCGTTAGTTCTTAAGAATTTGTAGAAACCGATTAGCATGTTAATATTTTTAGAAAATTTATAATTGTAGGTAAAAATTGTTGTTTCTTGTCTGAATGAAGGGATGGGGATACGTATGACGAGCTTTGATTGGAGGAGATTGAAAAAAGTGGGATGGTTTGTAAGAATGAGAGTTAGCGAGATTTTTAAGGGAAAAAATATAATCAGTTGTTTTCGAAGGGTGCAAGGCGAACAGTCGTTATTCTCTGGTGGTTCCCCAGAGGTAGGAAGCAGTAGAAGTAAATGTTTGTGAGTTTTCGTGGAGTACGTGTATCTGACAGAAGCTG